AGATTTATTTTATTTGTGTTATAATATGCAAGTGCTATATTAGTATATTATTATAGTGTTATATTTCAATTTCACAAAGAAACGTGCAGCAATAGCCTAATAAAACGACACTTTTTCATTTACTGTTAATAATGTCTTTTAATCTCATTTTGTTAAAAAAAAGTTGAGAAAATCGAATCGTGAAATCAAAATCGTGAATCAAATTGAATCGTGAGTTGAGTGAATCGTTACATCCAGTTTACAATAAGGTTAATTAGTTAATGCATTAGCTAACATGAACTAACAATGAAAATCATTATTTTACAGCATTTATTGTTCATGCTTTATTGTTAATAAAAATGTTCATATTAGTTCACAGTATATTAACTATTGTTAACACATGCAACTTTTGATTTTAATAATGCATTAGTAAATATTAACTAATACAGTTAACTGATTTTCATATTGTTTACTACATAACTTATTTTATTTCAGCTAGTTGACAAGGCAACATTTCTATTTTTTATTATTATTTAAGTTTAAGTTTTCTATCTAATATTTCTATTTTATTTCAGCTTTATTTCAATGAATGAAAATTAATATTAATAGTTTTAGATTTATTTAACAAAAACAACACTGTTCTCAATGGATGATTAGTTGTTTTAAATGCTAAATATCCTATTCGACTCTGAAATATGCCACCAGTGGTCTTCATGTTGACTTCAATGAAAAGTCTCCATTTGCACTTATTTTTTTTTTACTAATCCACCAAATCGCATGCACTATCTAATCCACCAAATCTTCTAAATCTGTGAGAAAACATTGAGACATTAAGGAGATCACATTCTTATGAGCCGATTTGTCACATTGTCACTGTTTTTTTCACAAACGTGAAGCAGCATCAGGCTTTCCGATGTCACATCACTTCATCGCTCTTCAGTCTTTCATTTCCTGTAGGTAAATAGGGAAGAGGCTGCAGGAGATCTCCGCTCATCTCCGAGTGTAATTGTTCTGTGCGTGGCTGTCCTGAGTTTCCGTCAGGTGTTGAGAATGACAGCAGAAGAGCTTAGAAATCCTTCTCTAGCTGATGAGGAGACAGATGAAGAGGCTGGCAGTCATTTCATTTCGCAGTCTATTGGCTCTGTGTTTTTTGTAGGCTTAAAGTGGCAAACATCCATAAAACTTCCCGTCTTGTCCTTCAGGCTTTCAAGTCTCTGTCCGTCTAATGGAAGTTGCATGGGCTGAGGCTGCGCTGGTGGGCTGCTTTGGACACGTCATGCGTCTTTCTTCTCTTCTTTGTTCAATCTGTTGCTGATTTGCATGATTTGCTGGCTCAGGTTTGTTGCATTACTCTACAAAGCTGGATTCATCCCAACTGTAGTCTTAGAGTGGGTGTTCAGCTCGTCTGTCCTCATTTTAATATTAACTTTGACCCCATTGCTCTGTTTTAAAACCTAGTGAGTTTTCTCGCGGACTATTCTCTATAAAGTGTCTAATTTGAAACTCTCTTCATGGGCAGAATCATTAACAGTCTCTCAAATAGCCACACAAGTAGTGTACTCTACTTGATTTTTAATAGTTTGATGTTAGCATGTTGATTAGCTAAGAACTTGATGTGTGTGTATATATATATATAATGTGTGTGTGTGTGTATATATGTATGTGTAAAAAAAAAAAAAGTAGCACACACAGATATTGGATAAAATAATGAATGTTTCTCTTGACTTCTTGGGTGAAACTGAACTTGTCGCAATGCACTTTGGGACTGTCGTATACAGAAAGTATATAGTGTATACCTTTAGTTTAAGCCAAAATTTGATAGGCTATCTTTAATCAGTTTTTTTTATGCTTTCACAATTCATTCATTCATCCATTCATGCATCCATTCATACATTCAGTCATGCATTTATCTCTTTGTGCATTCATTTATGCATTTATTTATATATCTGTTTTTGTTTATGCATTCATTTATTTATACATTTATGTATACATCAGATCTATTCTATTTATTTGTGCATTCATTTATATGTTTGCTTATTTATAGATGTTTGTTTATGCATGTATTTGCTTATTTATGCATTCTTTTATATATTTGTTTATTTATACATTATGCATTTATTCATAAATGTATACATTTATGCATTTATTCATTCATGCATGCATTTGTTTATATGCATTTATTTATTAATTTGTTTATGTATTTATGCATTCATTTATTTATTTGTTCATTTGCACAATTATTTATATATTTGTGCTTTTTTTTTTTTATGCATATAATTATACAAGTGTTTATTTATGGATTATTTATTTATGCATTTATTTATTCATGAATTTATTTTGTAAAAAGGTGTCTATGATGCCTAAAAGTATTGTCTAGATCAGGGGTTCTCAACCCTGGTCCTGGAGGGCCACTGTCCTGCAGAGTTTTGCTCCAACCTTGATCAAACTCACCTGCCTGTAGCTTACTAATAATCCTGAACAGCTTAATTAGCTGGTTCAGGTGTGTTTGATTAGGGTTGGAGCTAACATTTGCAGGACAGTGGCCCTCGAGGACCAGGGTTGAGAAAGCCTTGTCTAGATGAACAGCTTACTACTGTAGAAATTGAAGCAGAGCCCATCTGATTCATTGACTATTTTGGTCTCCTATACCCATACCCATATGTCTAAAGCAGTTTTAACCAGGTCTATTTTGACTCTTTGGCTTTATTCTTGTTTTTCTCTTCTAGCACTTTGACTGTGTGAGGAATTACATGCTGGAGCATCTCGCAGGATGAAAAAGATCGATTGCACAGCGGCAGACTCTCCAGGGACTGTGAGTGCATTTCATTACTCCTGTACCTTCTCTGTACAGAGTGTAAATGAGGAATAAATCCCATAATGTGAATCTTGGGAATCGGGGTGAAGCAATTTTATTATGTTCCACTAATTTGTCATAGAGAAAGCCTGTCGGCTGTAGAACAGCCATCAGAGCTTGCGTTCTTAAAGTATGTTCACTACTCTCGCTTTTTTTAATTGCAATCATTCTTTGCCTCTGAAGTTTGATGAGTCATTCTGGGAGCTCTGGGTGATGCATGTAATATTCAAGACTTTTTGCAAGAAAAAACATTCTGCAGCAAAGTTTAAAGGTAAATGGTGATAAATTAAGCAAAATAAATGCGGATGAAATGCACCTCTGATTTGATCATTACAGAACAATGCACCAGAATCGTTTACGCTACCTCATTTAAAGTAAAAAAAATAAAAAAATGAAATTAAAGGGACTCTATTTACTTTCTCAATACACATTCCTAGTATTATTGGGAATGATTCATCAGTGCATGCATGTTATCCCCCCTAAAAAGTTGTTTGTCTGTATAAACTTTCTTTAGAATCAATTCCAATCAACTCCAGATGGATAAAGTCAAGTCCTGTTCTATACTCAGAAATACATTACCAAAGTAAATGGGTTGCCAGTATTTCTAAATGTCACTTTTAATTTTCTTCAGTGAATAAAAAACTAAAACTAAATAAAAATGAAAACTTAAAAACTATATAGACTATATGGGAAAACTATACAGAAAAAATATATAAATATTTCTGTAAACTATACAGAAAAAACAACTAATATATAAAAACTATAGACACATATTTTTTAACTAAAACTAAAATCTAAAAGTTAAACTATAGACATTATTTTTTTAAATCGTTAAAACTAAAACTTAATAAACAAAATCTAAAACTTAAAAACTAAAATGTAATAAAAAATATACTGTCATATGTTAAATATAAAAAAAAAAAGACAAAAAAAAAACGATTTCCAAAACTTTAATTAAATTAAAATGAAAACTGAAAATGTAAAAAATAAAATAATTTTAAATTCATCAATACTATAGATTTTAATGCGTTTGTCCATTATAGTTCACATTGTCAGCTCAAAAATGGTCCATGCGTGCCCTTTGTTAAATGTAGTGCAGTGTTTGGGTCAGTCATGTGATTTGTGACGGAAGTGTGTGTCACCGTCGAACAGCTCTAATGTGACAGAGGGTTGTGAGATCAACAGACCCGCCACATTTTCACTTCCCTACGTCAGTTTCTGCATCGCCGGGCAGCATCAACGTCATGCGTGACCAGCAGTGCAGCTGCAAATCGTTTCTAATGCCTTTAAATGAGGGCACAGAGCACCACCAGCAATGACGAGCGTGTTTGCACTGGCTGCCTTTAAGTGCTTTTATAATTACGTGTCCAAATGGCATCTCAGAGTGATGCTGCGGAGTCCAGGTGGGGCGCGACTTTCGGCAGAAATGAAAAATCATTTGTCTCAGTTGTTTCTTCTAGACAGCATTAAGGAAAGCTTTGTAAGTCTCTTGCTCTTCTCAGATTTTCTTCTGAGGAAAGAGCCCCCATTAATATCAGAAGAGATCTAAACCTTAATTTTTAATTGCTCAAGATACCAAAATGTCTGAGATTTCATTATGAACTGAAACATTTCTCACCAAATTCTTACAGCAAACGATTTGATTATTTTTGTAGTGCTATACTCTGAACATCAATCATGGACTCATTTATGTATATCACAGTTATCGTTACCTAAAACTAAAACATAAACATTTTCATTACTTGAAATAAATTAAATATTAACCAAAATAAAATGAAATCTAAAAAACCTTAATCTTATTTTATTTCAGCTAGTTGCCAAGGCAACATTTTCATTTAGTTTAAGTTAAAGTACAATGTAAAAAAATGTTTTTTTTTAATTACTGGACATTTACAAAACAATACTCAAAACTACAAGAAAATTTCACATTTAATTCAATGTGTTACTGATTGTTTATAATTATTTTTGAAATTTACTTGCAATTTCTGAGTGAAAACGGTTTTTACATCAAATTATTTCAGTGAATAAAAATTAACTAGAACTAAGTAAAAATTAAAACTTAAAAACTATATAGACATATTTGGGGGAAAACCCCCTAATACTAAAGCTAAATAAACTAAAAACTAAAACATAATAAAAACTATATAGACATATAAAAAACGTAACACTAAACAAACTAAAATGTAATAAAAACTATATAGACATTTAAAAAAATTAAAACGAAATGAACTAAAACTAGAAACTAAAACTTAATAAAAATTATATAGGCATTAAAAAATGTCAAACTAAAACTAAATAAACGAAAACTAAAATGGTTCACCCAAAAATGAAAATTCTGTTATTAATTACTCACCCTCATGTCGTTCCAAACCTGTAAGACATCTTTGGAACACAAATTAAGATATTTTTGCTGAAATCCGAGAGCTTTCTGACCCTGCATAGACAGCAAAACAACTCCCACATTCAAGGCACAGAAAGCTAGTAAGGACATCGTTAAAATAGTCCATGTGACATCAGTGGTTCAACCGTAATAGCTCAAAGCTTCATAAAATTATGATTGAAACACTGATGTCACATGGACTATTTTAACGATGTCCTTACTACGTTTCTGGACCATAAAACGTTTTCAGTTGCATTGCTGTTTATGTAGGGTCAGAAAGCTCTCGGATTTCATCAAAAATATCTTAATTTGTGTTCTGAAGATGAAGGAAGGTCTTACAGGTTTGGAACGACATGAGGGTGAGTAATTAATGACAGAGTTTTCATTTTTGGGGAACTATCACTTTAATAAAAACTATATAGACATATTTAAAAAATGTAAAACTATAACACAAAATAAACAAAAACAAAACTAAAATGTAATAAAAACTATTTAAAAAAAAATAGAACTAAAACAAAAACTAAAATCTGAAAATTCAGTCATATTTTAAAAATAACCTAATAAAATGAACAAAACCCAAAAAAATTACCAAAACTTTAATTAAAACCGTAAATCTAAAATCAAATGTAATTCAAAGTATTAACAAAAACTATAATAGTAGATCAATGGCACTATAATAACACTGGTGTGTTTTTCTATTCCTTAAAAGGGATTTTACATCTAAGCCGAGTTGATATTTAAACTAAACTTAATTGAGTACTCCATTAAGTCTCCTGAGCTTTGAAAAAGCAACCTCTAAGCAATAAAAGCCAATAGAATAGGTTGGCAAATAATGCTCACAAGTCATGAGAAGCCTTAATGGCTTTCCACCTGTAAGCCTTATTGTTTATACTGTATCTTCAATGTCTGGTGTATTGAATCACCTGGAGCGCAGCAGCAATGTACCACTATTTTCCTCAATCAGCCATCTCCTCCTAGTAGCTTTGTCATCGGCGTGCTGGGATTGGCTGATTCTTGTAAAGGGCACAACTCTTTTTTTTTTTTTTCCTAGCAGTGCCTGACAACATGCCCTTTTTTCAAAAGCGGGTTATTCATAGGTTTGCGTTTATCCATACGCAGGCATGTCATGTAGCATCTGTCTGTCAGATAGACATCAGCGTCCTTTCATCCGCACACACACACACATTTCTGCTGACCTCAGAGCAGTACATTAGCCGCGGTGTGGAGTCCCACATGTTTGATCGCATCCTGATAGCTCCTGATTCAGTCAATCTGATCTGATTAACAGTAATAGAAGATCTTACCAATAGCGGCCTGAAAATTTCCCAGATCAAAAGAAGGCGACGCAGCATCTGCCTTTAAAATGCACTCAGCAGCCCACTTATCAAACAAACCCTCTTCCTGGAACTTTTTTAATAGAAAATGATTATGGTGTTCTTTCGCATAAATGTACACAAAATGACAATTGCCACGATTATCTTGGTAAGGTAAATCTCACCAAAACATGTACAGGTCCCATTTTACCACTAAATCAAAAAAGGAACAAAAACGAAATTATATTTTGCATTAAGAAATGATGCCTATGTTTAGGTATATGATTGATTGATTTAGACTTTTTTTATTTAGACTATTTATTTAGACTATTTTTTGCCTATTTATTTAGACTTTTATTTGCTTAAACTTATTTAATTGTTTTGACTTTTATTTATATATATATAT